ATATATACCGATCACAGAGTTACAAAGGCGGTGAGTTCACCCCAGAGGGGGCCTGAACAGGAGTTCGTTGTGAACAAGGATATGATGTTGGGGAGAGGCTCTGAGATACATGGATGCTTAGGAATTTTCAGGCTAAGGATGGAACTCCTCAAGCCAGCAGCTTGTCCATCTGGGGTGAACCCTGGAGGCTTTGGTCTTTTTCTCTCGGCCTGGGAAAGGGATCTGCATTAGGGACATTCACCACCTGGACCATTCCCAATAACACCTGTCTCCTTTTCTCTTATTACCAGGAAACTATGCAGTCGAACTCGTGAATGACAGTCTGTATGATTGGAATGTCAAACTCCTCAAGTGAGTGGGGACTCTGGGATTGGAAAGGAAGTTGAGGAGTGGTGTGAGTGGAGCTACTATGGTGGGAATCCCAAGAGCAGTCCCACCCAACTTGTTGGTTGCAGAGTCCCAGTGGTGGATGTGGGCAGTGGTTTGCTAGCCTGTAGGAGTGGGAGCCAGCATGAGGCTGTGGGCTGGGATCAGGGGCCTGAGTTCAGATTCCTTGTTTCATAGAGTTGACCAGGACAGCGCTTTGCACAATGATCTCCAGATCCTCAAAGAGAAAGAAGGAGCTGACTTCATCCTACTTAATTTTTCCTTTAAAGTAAGACTGTCTTCCTTTCCTTCCCTCCCTGGCTTCATCTTCCCTCTGCCATGGAGTTCTAGGGAGGACACTGACCTACTCTCCCTGATTGTTGTCTCTGTCTTCTCCTCAGGATAACTTTCCCTTTGACCCACCATTTGTCAGGGTTGTGTCTCCAGTCCTCTCCGGAGGGTGAGTGGTTGGCAGGGGGAGAGAGGGCAGCCTCTGTTGCAGTGGGCGAGTAAGGAAATCAGAGCTTTTGCCAGGTACTGCTGACTAACCTTTTTTCTACAGGTATGTTCTGGGTGGAGGTGCCATCTGCATGGAACTTCTCACCAAACAGGTGAGCCTGTCTCTTGCTCTGGGCTAGGCAGGGCCAAGGTGAGCTTTTCCACGTTCACATCCCTCTGGGTTGAGTGATAGTCATAATGTGGTCCTTTCGTTTTGCCTGGCAGGGCCTGTACTATACTGACCTGGGCACACAGGTGATGGCTGTGCTGGGGGCAAAGGGCAAGGGTCCTTCTAGGGATGCACTTGCTTGTCTGGAGGGCAAGCCTAAGGTTCCTTTTAAAATTGTCCTGACTAGTTTGCTTTGTCCCTCCCTGTTACCAGGGCTGGAGCAGTGCCTACTCAATAGAGTCTGTGATCATGCAGATCAGTGCCACACTGGTGAAGGGAAAAGCACGAGTGCAGTTTGGAGCCAACAAGGTAAGGACCTTGGACCTGAGCTGGTGAGGCTGGCTAAATAAAGTACGGGCCACTAGCAGGCCAAGGCTGCCTTTGTGGGACCAAGAAGACAAGGCCCCTGGGCTGATAGAAGTAGATAACAGGGCCTGGCTTGCCTAGAGTGGCAGAGTGGCCTGAGGGGCAGCATACGACTTTGGGAGGACAGAGGTCTGGAAAGTGAAGGCTATGGGACTATGTCCCATAGCGTTCCCCCAGGTAAAGGGTACTAGTTCATCAGTAGAACACATTGGGAGCCAGGACTCTTGGGTCTCTGGGTGGCAGTCTTTGGAATGTGAGGGGCAGCTGGCCATGGCCTGATTTGGTGGCTTCCTCTCCCCAGTCTCAATACAGTCTGACAAGAGCACAGCAGTCCTACAAGTCCTTGGTGCAGATCCACGAAAAAAACGGTGAGGCTGAAGCCAGGACTCGGGGATTCAGACACTTGCCAGCCCAGAGGTTTTTTTCACTTTCAGCCAAATAGCAAGAACCCCTTTCTGTGGTTTCTGAGCCTTACCACCCAAATCAAATCACAGCACCTGCTCTGTTCTCCAGAGAAGGGCTAGAGGTGGTTACATCCACAGCCTCTTCTCCCAGAAAAGCACCGATGATCATATCCCATGTAGACTTGGTGCTGTCCCTCCTCCCTGCCACTCTTTGAAAAGGTTCATCTAACTCTTCTGTCATCTCAGGTTGGGCACATCATTCTCCCTTCCTTTATGATCTCCAGGTATGTGGTTTCTCAGCTTCCCATATACCGCCTCTCCCCTGACATCGGGCGGGCAGCCCTTCCTAGGATCTTTTCATCTGAAACACTGGAGGTATCTTCAGTGATTAATACATGGGGATAGACTTCGGTCCCTACCTCCCTGACTGTTTTGTTCTGTTTATTTGCAGGCTGGTACACACCCCCAAAGGAAGATGGCTAACCCTGGAGAGTCGTCCTCGTCCTCCTTCCCCAGGCACCACTGGACCAATTACCTTTGAATGCTGTATTTGGATCTCACGCTGCCTCTGTGGTTCCCTCCCTCATTTTTCCTGGACGTGATAGCTCTGCCTATTGCAGGACAGTGATGGCTATTCTAAACGCTAAGGAAAAAAAAACACAGAACTGTTTCAAGTACTCAAGACTGACTTACAGACCAACCAACCACCTTGCTGGAACCCTTGCTAGCAGGCATTCTTATAAAAGAAACTTTCGAGCCTCCTTATATTGCTGGAACTCAGCTGTGCTCCAGACTAGAGCCTCCTTACCTATGCTATGGATTTTTAATTTATTTTCTCTTATTTCATGTACACTGCTTTTTTTGGTTACAGTGTATGATGGATGTGTATGAAAAAAAAATGTATCTTTGGGAAAACAATTACAGTTTGTTAATTTGAAGATGTTGGTCTTGACTCATCTTTATTTTTATTTCCACATCCTACCCTACCCCCATCCCTTGAACTACTTGGGAGGTGGGGGAGGGGTGCCAAGCCCACTGCAATGCAGGAGGCTGAGACCATGATCTAAGTTCCCAGGACAGCTTTGATAGTTGCAGAGATGTTTCCAGTTTTCCAGGAAAAAGAAAATGAGGTTTAAGAGGCTGCTTCATAGAACTGCTTTCAAATGAATAGGAGTGGGGGCAGTCTCCCATGTGTGTATATGGTCTTTAGTGAGCGTGGCAATGTGCTGAGGTGCTATGACTTCTGGGTCTTCATCACTTCCCCTCCTGCCCAGGAAGTGGCCTTTAACTAGCATTGAGTGGTAACTGTTGGTGACCCCTTTGCTCACCTTCCTCCTGTCTTGCTTCATTTGGTCTTGTAAAAGAATGTTGGCATAGGTGTGAAGTTGTTTGGCTTGGAGGCTTGTGGATTCTCAAGCCACTCCCACAAGGTGGGTCCTATTAGAAAGTGTTAGCTTGGGGGGGAGGGGGACTTGTCCTAGACACCTGTATTCTCATGGCAGGCTCTGGGAATGTGAAGGAGTGGGGGCATCTGCTCTGAAATAGAACTGTTGGTGCTGTGTTGTATGTACATGCTGATGTGAAAGTGTGGGCAGGGCTCCTGCTTAAAGCAGGTGCTGCTGCCTGCCCTTCCTTGTCAGTAAGCTTGCGTTGGAGTTGAGGTTGCCTCTCAGGAGAGTCTATGCCTACAGACTAGACGACAAGTGAAATGACAGAGGCCAGAGACGACTAACAGACTTGGGACAGGTGCCTGGGAACCAGCAGGATGCAGGAGGAGTTCTGCAATGGCTTGAGCCACAACCATTTTAACATCAGTCATTTTCCCCCTTTTTTTTTGAGGGATGGGAATATTTTGCTGCTTCAGGTGGATGGAGAGTTCGCCAGTCCCACTGAGTGCTGGTCCACCACACCCACCTGATCAGGGGTGCTAATATATGCTTAAGTTGGGATAAAGGGGACACAAGGGGAGAATTCATTCCATGGAGCTGAGATCTGGTTTTCAAGGCCTCTGTGGCTTCCTTCTGAACTTAACCACCAGCCCTGGCTGGAATGTAGATTGTGTTTTGAATAGCGTGTACTGTGAGCTGTCCTCTGTATAATGTATTTTGTAATGTATTTTTCTCATCTACCAAAGGATGAACAAAATAAAAATTATTTAAATAATTTGGCTCTAAGAAAATTATTTAAAGACATAATTGGGTTCATACTCACTTGACATAAAGGAAAATGCTCGCTATGAGCTATGGGTCACCAACTCAGAGAATCCTCCATTTTTCTCAAACACTCTCTTTTATAATCTTAAGTTTAAAGCTGTAACAAAGTTGCAAAGCATAAAAAAAGAATCAAGGCCATATTGTTATGGTCTGATTTTCTTCTCTCTGCTAAGAACACAAGGAAAGAAGAAACAAACTCTTTAAGGTCGTTACCCTATACCTTAGGTGTGCATCTCTAGCCCAGGCGGGGTTAGCCTGAGTCAGTCTACAACCGGGGACTGAATGAACCCTTGAGGCACACAGTTTCTCAATCTCCCAGGAGCAGTGTAAGAGGGTAGGATGCAGACAAGGGCCCAGAAAGGTAACAATCACCCCAAACTCATGAAACACTGTTTATTTGCCAACGTGATGGTTCATTGGTTAAATGCTCTCAACCTGTTTCTACGTGGAACACCAGGAAAACTAGGCAGTGGGCCCCCTCTGTTCTCCAGAATCCATTAAGGTAGCTTTTATTGTACTCTGGCGTGCCAAGGAGAGATGCAGGGAGGAACACAGGGCTGCCTCAGGCTTTCAACCTGAAGAGAGCTTCCCAGGCTTGGTTCAAATATGCATGCTAAATTGGGGAACTGAAGACCTGATAAAGTGATAAAGTTTCACTCCTTTTTTGAGTGGTGAGCTAGGGATGAAGACAAACAGGAATCAAATCAATTCGGGGCACCTCAGGAGCTAAAGGGGTCCAAGAGGGCAGAGTGAGGCTGACTGAACCTGAAGTAGGCAGGAGAGGGGGCAAGCTGATTATAACTCTGTTATTTAAACTCCTCAGATTTCAGGATGTGCAACTGGAAGAGAAAGAGAAAGTCCTGGTGGGAAGGCAGGACTGCCGGCAGCCAGTCCACCCACTGCCCAGAGGAATACCAGATAAATCCATGGACCCAGGCCTGGGCAGTGCCTGCAGCTGAGACTACAGGTGACAAGGAAGAGAGGCTAGCTGATGTAGAACAGGGCAGTTACCTCCAAGTTCAAAGCACCAGTGATTTTCCCTTTCAGGATATAATGGCTAACCTGATCCAAACTCAAAATGTCTACAAAATGAAATTGAACAACAAAACCTCAGTGGCACTTAGTTGGGCAGGAGAAGCAGAGGGGAGAGGCTGTGGCTGACGAAAAGTGCTCTGGCTGTTGGATCAGCTCCCACCAAGTCTCTGTTAGTGCCACCTCCCCAAGGGGAGGGTAAAATGAGACACATGTGGAAAGGTGTGTGTGGGGGGGCAAAATCAGAGCATATAAAATGAGATAACATTATTATTGCTGGTCAAATAATTATAGGGATCTGAGACCTTCTATTCTCTAATAGGAAATTCTAGTGGGGATAGAAAATTGTGTTCACTCAATTCTGCTCTGAGAAACGGGGACCAGAAAGCAGAGAGGTCTTCCCTATGATGAGTGAGCATCCTTACATGCTGGAACCAGGGAGGGCAGAGAGCTGGTGGAAGCCTTCTCTGTGTCCTGCCACATCCACACACCCCCCCCCCCCAATGTGGAACCGTCTATATGCCTGAAATGGCTCATATGGAGTGTCAGACCCCAGGTCAATCCCCAGCTGTGCTATTTCTTGCTATGAAATGTGAGGAAGTTTCTTTCACCTTTTAGAGCTTACTTTCCTCCTCTGTGAAGTGGGGATGGGGGTGGGGGGTGTTCTATGCCTGTCTGCCGTATCTCCAGGGCTGTCTCAAAGTCCCACGTGATGCGTGCGCACTCTTGACAGTGGGCCATGTCAGTGCTGGACACTCCGGCCCCTTGACAGGCTGGGGGCTACTCTTCAGGGGAAGGGGCTCCTCTTCTTTGTGCCTACCCAAAGCTCAGGACCTCTAGCCACCTCTTACTCCCTGTTCCTCCATGGGAGCAGGGGTCCTCCTCACATGCAATGACCTGACACGACCTCTGGGTGGTGCTCCCTGACCACTGGGCACAAAAGGACTGGAAAGCCATCAGCCTCCCAAGGAGCCAGGGCCCAGCACTTTTGGGGGATATTTTCCATATTACTGTGTGGGTAGGTAGGTAGACATATGTGCATATGTGTGTTTGTACACATGTGTGTGTGTATGTATGTGTGTCCCATCAGCTTTACTTCTACCTCCCCTCCTGACTTCCCAAACCATTCTCTCATACTTTCACTTTTCACCTAATCTACATCTTGAGAAGGGGCAGGGCAAACAGGAGCCTCTCCATTTCAAAGATGTGGGAACTGAGGCCTCAGCAGGTATCTGGATCTAAAGTAACAGCAAATCAGAAGACCCTCAGTCCAGAGCTCTGACCTCTGGTTTTCAGATTCTAACTTTCTTCTATAGCAGAATCCTTTTTAATGAAATCTTACATAAAATGTGATATACACAAAACAAGTAGGTACTTTGGGCAGCACCTGAGATCCTTCCTAGGCTCCTGGGGCTGACAGTGCCCAGGTATGAAAACCACTACTCAGAGGTAGTTTTGCTAGGAGCAGATGCTGAAAAATGGGGTTAGAGTAGAGGAATAGAGGCTGAAGGAAGCCCCAGGGCTTCAGCTGCCCACCATGCCATTCCCTGCAGAGGTCCCCAAGGCAAGGACCACATGTCCGTCTCTGAAGTCCCAGCCAGAAAGGCGAAGCCTGTCTTACTTTTCTCCAGCATGAAGGGCTGAGTCAGAGGTGGGATGGCCCAGAAGTTGTCACTGTCTAGGCTGCACAGGAACTGCATGGGGATGTGGCTGACCGGCCAAAGTCGATGAACATCACCACTGTCCAAGTGTCCACCCGGTCTATCACCCAGCACCTGGTCAGGGACAAGGTAAAGGGAGAGTGCAGGCTGCTCCATCCATAGTGGTCCCCAACAAAGAGGGCTTGAAGGCTGAAGCTAAAGGGAAAGGGAGAGTGCAGGCTGCTCCATCCATAGTGGTCCCCAACAAAGAGGGCTTGAAGGCTGAAGCTAAAGGAGAAGCAGAGAATTTCTTTTGCTTTTCCCCATCCTCAGGTGGGGAGGTAATGAGAAGCAGAGACAATCTTGAGAGGAAGGAGCAAGAAAGAAACCAGAGTCCAGAGAAGGAAGGAACATGGAAGCGAAAAGCAGCTCTGCCAAGGTACACACCTGTTCCAGGCCTGTCTGTAATCACCCAAGTAGTTCTCTGCCAGATAGTGAGTCCGGCGCTGCACGGCTGAGTCATCCAAGTAGGGCTGCCGCTCCTATGCCTCGGCCAGGGTGTTGAACAGCACCTCCCCATGTTCTGGTGCAGGTTCTGGAAGTGGCACAGATGCAGCAGCTTTGCTGCCTGTATCACACTACACACATCTCTACCAATGCCATCTGTTATGTTAGTCCCACTAACTTGTCCTAAAGGAACCAAAGGCATGAGGTGAGATGGAGAGCGAGACTGAAACCAGTGCAAAAATTGCAGTCATTCTGGATTTCCACCACTGACTGGTTCTCATTACCACATTCCCCCCAGGAAGGTCCCCCAGAGAAAGCAGAGAAGCCCAAGGTCACCATGAGCTGTACCTCAGTGACATGCGTGGCCCAGAAGAATGGGGTCTGAGGGATGACACTGGTCACCAGCAGCCCCACTTCCTCACAGAGGTTGTGGATAGTGGTCTGTCAGCTCAGGTCTTGGAAGCAATCCCTCAGCAGTAGCACCAAGAAGGATCCTCTGCAAGGAATGCAAGGGGAAGGGGACAGGCGTGAGTGAGCGAGTACATTAACCCCATACTTATCCTGTGGGATGCTGGGATGGCCATAGAAACAAGAGTCACACTGAACAGGAGGGTCATGCCCACCCCCTCAAGGCCTGGGGGTGGTGGGCTGAACAAGCATCCAAGTAATCACAACGCACAGCAGAAGAAATGAAGCACCACGGGGGGCGCAGAGGGGCTAGAGAGTCTGGGGAGGGGTGCAGCAAAAGAAACAAAACTACATCAGGAATCTTTGTAGAGACATGGGTAAAAGCTCTAGCTGAGTGACTGTGAGCCTGCTAGCGTGACTCTTATGCCTCTGAAGGATGCAAATGTGGACTGTCCACAATCCAGCTCATGTTCTAAGTCCCAAAATACCCACCAGCCACTCCTCGGAAGGAAGATGGGGCAATCTACTTCCGTAGTGATACTGCCTCGGAAACCCAGGGAGAGGTTGCTATGAGTTGGGGCCAACTGGACGGCACATAACAACAACAACAGTGTTTAACCACACCTTAAACTTTACCCTGCCACTCTCCACTAACTTTCTTACCTGGCTAAGTATCATGTGGTTAGCAAGGTGAATCTGCTGCTTTAGAATACAAAATAAAAACCACTTATCCTATCATATTTCAAGTCAAAAAGAGGATTCTGGCATCTCTGCCATTAAGAGTGCTGTCCAACGTCAAGAAAAGCAAAAGACACGGTGGGCACGATTATCTCATGGCATCCAGGGTAGGGAACAGTCACAGGCCTTCACTGTACTTAAGTGGAAACAGATTTTGTTTTTTAGGCATTAAGCAAAAAAATTACACAATCAATTTGTTAATCCCAACTGGGATGAATGTAATGAAGGAGATGGCCAGGTGCTGGCCAAGGGGATGCAGGGCATCCTCAGAGCTGAACATGTCCTAGGACTCTATATTAAAAAAATAAAATAAAAAAAGAGCATAGTTCAGTTTTAAAATTCCCCTAATGATTTATTTAAAAATTATTATCAAAGCTACATATGATCATAGTTTCCTGAGAAGAATCAGCCATTGCAAAATATAAGTCTCCTAACCTTATTCCCCAGAGGCAACCACCTTCTATCCTTTGAGCTGATTCTTTTAGCATTTATTTCAAGTCCCTAAACAGCATGCTTGTAGTGCTTCTTGATTTTAGTACTCCTTCTTTTTTACCTTTATCTGTACTTGAATAATTTCTTTTACAAGGCTAGGTACAAAGATGGTCCCTATGAGGTGGAGGCTAAAGGTGTCCCAAATATCCAAGTTTTCAAAACTGCTGTACCACGTCATCATCTCTAACATCAACTACTACTCATCCTCTCCTCAGTATGCTCCCTCCTGTCTTTGTTGTTGTTGTTGTTATGTGCCGTCGAGTCAAACCCGACTCATAGCGACCCCTCCTTGGGTTTCCGAGGCAGTGTCACTACGGAAGTAGGATTGCCCAACCTTCCTTCCGAGGAGTGGCTGGTGGGTTTGAACCGCCAGCCGTCTGGTTAGCAGGCAAGTGTCTGAGCCAGTATGCTACCAGAGCTCCCCCTCCTGTCTTAGGGTTCCGTAATGCACTGTAATGTCTAACAGAGTTCACAAACTGCCAAGAAAATGGTTCACGTGGTGGGTGGTGGCTGGCAAGTCCCAAATCTGTAGGTCGGATGTGAGTCTGGAGGATTCTTCTCACTCACGTGATTGTAGAGGCTGATCAACTTAACTCGCCAGGTCAGATGACAGGCTGTTGGCTCACAAGGCTATGGAAGCTGGTGAATCAGGTCAGATGAAAGGCTGCCAGCTCAAGTCCCAAGAACCAGAGGTTAGATGATGATGAACCAGATGCAGGATCCACAGCAAGAGAGAGAACTTTGCCTAAGAATTCATATATATTGGATGCAGACTATACCCTCAAGGTAACTGAAGGTGGTGAATTGACTTACACCCTCTAGTAAGATGCTCAAGATACATCCCACCCTAAATCTTGTCTCATTAACATAATAGACAACTCACTCCAAAATGGGACCATAACCACAGGCATAGAGGCTAGGATTCACAATACATCACAAAACGGAGAACTACGGCTAGAAGGGCCATATTAAGTAATTTATTGCACAGTAATCTGTATTTTTTTTTTTTTGCAATAGTTACCCCCAACCCAATAACTACTAATCTACTTTTGTCTCTTGCATTTGACTATTCTAGATATTTCACATAAGTAGAATCATACAATATTTGTCCTTTTGTGTCTGAATTATCTTACTAAGCATAATATTTTCAAGGTTCATCCATATCATAGCATGTATCAGAACTTCATTTATCTTTATGGTTAAATGTTACATTGTATGCGAGCTCTAGTAGTGCACTGCCTAAGGCACTTGACTGCTAACCAGAAGGCTGGCGGTTC